CAAGTGACCCGGCCTTCTCACCTACAGTGATTTACTTGCATATATATATATATGCAAGTAAATCACTGTAGGTGCGCGTGATCTAGGTATATGCTGATAACCACAAGGAAAGAAGAAAACACGAAGTTCCCAAGCGCTTTCGTGTCTGTACCCACCCCTGAAGATGTGAATTACACGAAAGCGCTTGGGAACACAGTGTTTTCTTCTTTCCTTGTGGTTATCAGCATGCATATATATATGTATATATATATATATATATATATATATATATATATATATATATATATATATATATATATATATATATATATATAACGTATGTGTGTTACCTCTTTTCTAGTACTTCTGTATAAAGGACACCAAAAGGAGAGAGAGAGAGAGAGAGAGAGAGAGAGAGAGAGAGAGAGAGAGAGAGAGAGAGAGAGAGACATTATACAAGTTAAAAATAAAAAAAGAGGTAAAACAAAGGATTCTCAGACTTTTAATTCGAAAATGCTGGCCAATTAATTTTCTCCTAACTTTTACTTACTCTGCAATAAACGACAAGAGAAAGTTTTGAACCTGATAGTGCCAGAAAACAGAGAATTTAATGTCATTAAGCACGAAGGAAAAGATAAGTCTAGGTCGTTTTTTTTTCTTGTTGATTAGAAGTCATTCCGTAATACAGCTTAGAGTTTCCCGCGTTTAAAAAAACGTGTTGTTTTATTTGGGTGTTTTACTATGTAGCAGTAGACAGGCCGAGAGATGTTACTATTGCCTGATTTCTTATGTATTTCTTGCATTAAATACCTAGTAAGATTATTTATCATCTAATACAACGTTAAATATGTCTATTATTAGTAAAGTCAACAAATTAATAAGGTAGAGTCGCTTACAACTATATAAATAATGCAAGACTCTAAAATAAGTTTTAACACAAACTTACGAAAGGAATCGATGTCTCTCTAACAGCTAACAGTACCATTCATTAGGAAAGCTTCAGGAACGGACAACCTCATCCACTTGTCAGCCTCCCTGTGTTCTGGTCCCTATCACTAAGGTTTTGGCCTAAATGTCATGCACATGGCGACGATAACATGTATCAGAGGCCTATGGCAGCATCGCCCTGGTGGCTCCTATGGCGACTGATAACAGGGAGGACCGAGTCGAAACTTTTAGAATATTTCTCAGCTCTTGTCCTCACACATACTAGAGAGAATCTTAATACACAGACATACAATACGGTAAAGCTGTTATTCTCACTGAGAACACGAATATATTATGAGTCATAATATTCGCCTGTTTAAGATTCATAAAATTTTCTGACAAACTGTTTTACCACGTTGAAAATGGACGAATAAATTAATATAATAATGCAACTTATTATTTGCAGTTACGTCGGAAAGTTATATCGTTTCAACATGCTTCCATCTCAGTAAAATATATCACACAAAATAGGGGCACAAACAACAACAAATGAAAGTTTAGTTTTATTTCAGTGCAACATGACAGAAGAGTTTTAATAGTAGCCGACAGAAGAGTTTTAATAGTAGCCGTATCTGTGTTGGTAGGAGTGGCCATACGCAGGGCGGTACCCGTGCCCAGAGTAACCATAGATATGGCTGGGCTCAGCAGCTCTCTTTCCAATACCATGTCCGAAGCCATAACCATGGCCATATCCATGTCCATAGCCATGGCCGTAACCAACGGTATGTCCGTAGCCATACCCGAGACCGTAGGAAGGTTCAGCATCACGCTTGTGAAGGATATGGTTGTAGGAGTGGCTGGCGGAATGGAGGCCGTAGGGGTGGTAAGATGCCACTGGTCCGTAGCCGTAGCTGTGCCCATGCCCGTAACGATAACCGTGGCCGTAGTTAGTGAGGCCGTATGAGGGCTCAGCCTCGCGTTTCTGCTCTGCTGCCACGAAGGCGGCCAACAGTACAACGATCTGAGGGAGAGAAATCTTTATAAACTGAACAAACTTCACAATTATGTATTTTATTCTTTGTCATATATTAAGCTATGCCGACTGGCAACTTATAGCAAATGAGGTAGAACGGCTCTAAAGTTAGTTGAGCATCTTACCAGAGTCCTCATGGTTGGTTGTCGGTAGTGAAGCGGCTGTGTCAGACAGAATTCTCGCCTCTCTATATATACAACGCGGAGTCTGGCCCCGCCCTAACCCCCTCACCGACCTCGTCGCTAACGTGAAATTTGACCGCAAACTTGAAGGTCGTTAAGCTATATATAGACACCCAAGGCATGTCATTAGTGATTAACTGACATTGATGCTAAAATGTATGATTGCGCTTCAACAACTAAGGTGTTTAAGCACGTATTCTAGATGAGGAAATACACAGGATATCAACTGTTGAAAATCAGGTGATATAAATCATTCTGTGCATTTTTTTAACATTAGATTTTATCAGAAATACGCACTGAAGCGATGTAGTTATTTCTTTCTCCTGGAAATATAGAATTTAAAACGATAATAACGTTTTGTTATATGTCAACGAAAATAACATACCTGTATCACCTGCTTCAATATATTTCATAAAACTTGCAGAAAATAACTATTGTCAAGACATATAAGTCTTCAACGATAGGAGACGGATAAAACATTCTGAGACAAAGCAGTAATAACACTGTTGGTTACTGGGATATCAACAAAATATAATTACAAAATTCCCTCCACAAAAAATTATAGTGTTTAATAATGTAAGGAATTTTGTGTATAAAGAGATGTCTAGATTGGTTACAATGCGAGAGATTGTCCGGCAAATAATCGCAAAAGGTTGAATTTTTGTGAACTTTGATCCCTTGAGAGTTAAAAAAAGTAATGGCAGTGTAGTGATGAAGGTATATATGAATATCAAATACCCTGTAATTTTAAATTAATGCAACGAGATTTGAAGATATCAAGAACAGACAACCTTGTCCTCTTGTCCAGCTGCCCACGGTGATATTGTCCCTGTCACTAAGGTTTTGCCTAAGGTCTCTTTTACACGAGTGTCTTTTTTTCTGTCGTGAGATATAATATACACGTCTTTCTTATACAAAAACCATTACACAGGTCGCGTTTGCACTTCTGTATCTACCGGTACTTGGTCTCCCATGCTGTTTTCTTGAAAATTTGTAAATATAATTATCATTATGCTGTGAAGTTATGAAATATATATTTATAATTATGCATAGACTGTATTAAGAACAAGAAATATGTGTTATAGAGTTATAGATATCTATACTGCATATTGAAATACAATATTATATGTAAATAAGTAATATAAAAAGAGACAAAGAGATACTTGCTGAAGTATTAATTCAACCACAGTTAAAACGCAACTGTCACGAGTCAAACCAAAAACTCGTCTGAAATACTCTATTGCCGTATAAGGAGTTTCAAAATGCTTGGTGTATTCTCATGTTTAGCAATTTGGAAGGACTGTAGAGGCCTTCGGTCAAATTTAACTGATTTTTTCTTGTACGTACCTCAGAATGAACAGATGGAGCTGAACTTGTGCGCAGCAGAAAAAACGTCTGTATGAAGTAGCGTTTTTTTGTTTAAGAGACACGTGTATATTTTACCACACGACAGAAAAACAGTCGTGTAAAAGAGTGATAGGGACAATGTCACCGTGGGCAGCTGGACAAAGAGACACGGTTGTCCGTTCCTGATGCTTTAAAAAATTTTCCATTCCTTCAAATATCAGTCCATTATTTTCAAAAACAATATTCATATTTACCTTGGTCAATAGACAGCCTATTTTTTCTTTTTTTACTCACCGAATTACGATTTTCTACCAAGGAATATTTCGCATTTTAAACGGGCGACATACTGTTTTCGTTTAAAGAAAATTTTCTTAAATCGAAGTATTCACTTAAATATAAACAACAATTAGGGGTATTTTTTTAATGATATTTTATTGATTATTCAGGTGTCACAAATCAAGAAAATCTCCCACAGAAGACTCAAGCACATATTGTTATTTCTTCTCATGATGTTTCGTCTCTTATCCCTGTCTTATCGTAGAAGACTTCTATCTAGACTCAGGTTTTATGAAATATGTTAAAGGAGATAATACAGGTATGATAATATCGTTGGTAAATATCCTAAGTCTAGTCGTTATTATAGTTTAAAACTGATATCTCCAGGAGAGAGGTACAGTACAGTGCCATGAGCGGTTAGAAGTTACTCATGACGTAATATAGGGAACCCTCGTGACTGATTGAGATCTATGCTGCTAGTCAAGGTTGTAGCTTCCGACAGGCTGGGCAGAAAGGGTGACAGGAGGTCGCGGTGTGAACTTCAACCTGCTAGATCGTTGAATAATGTAATTAGGTATTGTCTGTGCTTATACTATGTTACAGGGATAGGGAAGACTATATTAGGATTTATGCTTTATAGAATATTTTCATTATATCTGTGTTTGCTGGTTAGAGTATTATCACCAGTGTACTCCAATGTTATATTTGGTCCTTTGGTTATTATGTAAGATGTCATAATACATAGGAGTTGGGGAATATGTACCTATAAAGTTGTGAATTTAAATTTTTCAATATCATATTTGACATTGATACAGTATTTATTATGATCCTGAAATCGAATGAGTATTTGAAGTAATTGGGAAGAACCTATGACAGTCGGGATGAGAATATCACAGGTCAATATGACACGCAGTCCCCTTCAATAGTGCGTTTACAGGGGATCGTCATATGAATATTCCACAAATCATTACCTAACGAGCCCCTGTAAACACACAGTGAAGGGGACTGTACCTACAGCTCGCCAGTGCAGATTTCTGAAAATGTCTAATGTTAACATTATGTACAGTATAACACCAAATTTTCAACATTTGATGACCAGTGCATTTCCTAATATAGAATATGGTCTTAACGACCTTAGCTGTTGAAGCGCAGTAATAACATCAATACCTGTTAATCACCTATGATAGGCCTTGCTTGTCTATCTATAGCTTAACGACCTTCAAGTTTGCGGTCAAATTTCACGTTAGCGACGAGGTCGGTGAGGGGGTTAGGGCGGGGCCAGACTCCGCGTTGTATATATAGAGAGGCGAGAATACTGTCTGACACAGCCGCTTCGCTACCGACAACCAACCATGAGGACTCTGGTAAGATGCTCAACTAACTTTAGAGCCGTTCTACCTCATTTGCTATAAGTTGCCAGTCGGCATAGCTTAATATATGACAACGAATAAAATACATAATTGTGAAGTTTGTTCAGTTTATTAATATTTCTCTTCCTCAGATCGTTGTACTGTTGGCCGCCTTCGTGGCAGCAGAGCAGAAGCGCGAGGCTGAGCCCTCATACGGCCTCACTAACTACGGCCACGGTTATCGTTACGGACATGGGCACAGCTACGGCTACGGACCAGTGGCATCTTACCACCCCTACGGCCTCCATTCCGCCAGCCACTCCTACAACCATATCCTTCACAAGCGTGATGCTGAACCTTCCTACGGTCCCGGGTATGGCTACGGACATACCGTTGGTTACGGCCATGGCTATGGACATGGACATGGATATGGCCATGGATATGGCCATGGTTATGGCTTCGGACATGGTATTGGAAAGAGAGCTGCTGAGCCCAGCCATATCTATGGTTACTCTGGGCACGGGTACGGTTACCGCCCTGCGTATGGCCACTCCTACCAACACAGATACGGCTACTATTAAAACTCTTCTGTCATGTTGCACTGAAATAAAAATAAACTTTCATTTGTTGTTGTTTGTTCCTCTATTTTGTGTGATTTTTGTTGAGGTGGAAGCATGTTGAGACGATCGAAAGTTTTATTAATTCATTCTCCCAGTTTATCACTGGGTAAAACTTTCACGTCAGGAATTGTTATGAACCTTAAACATGTGAGAATTAATGAATGATGAAAACATACACTCATATTATCAGTACCAATCACAGTGTTACTGCTATTATGTAAAGCATAACGTACTGAAGTCATACATGAACTGTACCTTCATAATAGTTCAGTGTTTTCAGTAAGAACAGCTTGACCTCACTATATCTCTATGTATTAAGATTGTGTCTGAGGTGCAGTAGGATAAGACGGTAAAAAATAATCAAAAAATTTGAGGTGGTCTTACCTTTCATCAGTAGTCATGGGAGCCACCAGGATGGTGCTCCCACTGGCCTATGGTAGGTGCTATAATCGATACCTAAGTCTTTGTTCACGAGCTGTTTCTTGTTTATCATGAGGCACGTGTCTTACGATTTAGAAATCAATGGAGTTTAATAGGACCATTCACACGAACGTACCGAACGAATAAAAAGATGACATTACTGCTGACCGAACGCTTGTACAGTTCCATTCATTTCCTCATTTAACAGAGAACCACGATTGCGTTTAGTTAAAGGACTCGTAGCACTCGAAATAATATCTTTTCAACTGAACGGCGGCGTAGTCGGCGATTAGAAGTTTTCGTAGCGTTACGAAGACAACGGTCCACCGAGGTGCATGAGTAGGTCCGTAGTGCCCAGATGTTTATAAATAAGAAAGATGGCGACTACAGGAGCATATTTTGTTGCAGTGACTGTGATCTTGTATTTACAGACCTTCAAGAAGTATATGCACACATACAGAGCCGCAGTAATTATTACAAAAATCTAATAAACATATCTTCGGCATTGTATTACACAATATAACTGTGCGAAGGATAAATTTAGATGATTAATTAAACATTCGCTGACTAATTAGGCATGATATTTTTTTATTGAGTTATTCAAGCTGATTACAGACTGTGGTGGTATTGAAAGTTGGGGGAAATACACAGCCACGATTCAAGCAGTGATAAGCGTAACCTAGCAACCACTTAGTAGTGCACGATGGCGTCACAACCGTTCAGTTTGCCCCATAAGGCAGTACGGATTCCTGTAGCGTATGTAGCGCGCAAGTGAATGCAGCCCAGGGCACTACTGACCTACCCATGCACCTCCGCGGGCCGTAGTCTTCGTAACACTACGAAAAATTATAATCGCCGACTACGCTGACGTTCAGTTGAAAAGATAATACTTCGCACACTACGAGTCGTACAACTAAACGCGGTCTTGGTTCACCGTTGAAGGAGGGAGTGGAGGGAACTGCACAAGCGTTCGGTGAGCATCAACATTATCTTTTTTTTTTTTTGCTGCGTGTGCAAGTCCCAATGAACCCGATTACTTTCTAAATTGCGCAACAAGTGTAGCATAATTATAATAAAAGACTCGTGAGAAAGAGGCCCGCGTGTCATGCACGCGCCAATGATAACATGTTTCACAACTTCAGTGGCCGCCTGGAGGCTCTAATCATGATTGATAACAGGGAGGACCACCTCGAAAACTTTAGAATGTCATAGCGTTTGTCATGAAACATACTAGAGAGAATCTTAACACACAGAAAAACCATAAGGTAAAGCTGCTATTATTGAGAACACTGAAAAATTATGAGTGTAGTTAATGCTTGACTTTACTGCATTATGGTTTCCATGATAAGAGTAACACTGACTGAAAACGTTGGTACTTACGTATTTAAGGTTCATAACATTTCCCGACAAAATAATTAATCGAAGAATAAATTAAAAGAAACTTTTATCGTTTCAACATGCTTCCGTCTCGACAAAATATCACACAAAACAGAGGCAAAAACAACAACAAATGAAAGTTTTAGTTTTATTTCAGTGCACCATAACAGAACAGTTTTAATAGTAGCCGAAATAAGGATGTACAGATCTGTGTTGGTAGGAGTGGCCATACCCAGGGTGGTGGACGCCCGTGTTGTAGCCGTATACTGCTCCGTGGCCATGGACGAGACCGTGACCATACCCATACCCAGGGTACTTCTTGAAGGTCTGTAAATACAACGTCACAGTCACTGCAACAAAATATGCTCCTGTAGTCGCCATCTTTCTTATTTATAAACATCTGGGCACTACGGACCTACTCATGCACCTCGGTGGACCGTAGTCTTCGTAACGCTACGAAAACTTCTAATCGCCGACTACGCCGCCGTTCATTTGAAAAGATATTATTTCGAGTGCTACGAGTACTTTAACTAAACGCAATTATGGTTCTCTGTTAAATGAGGAAATGAAGGGAACTGTACAAGCGTTCGGTCAGTATCAACGTCATCTTTTTATTCGTTCGGTACGTTCGTGTGAATGGTGCTATTAAACTCCATTGATTTCTAAATCGTAAGACACGTGCCTCATGATAAACAAGAAACAGCTCGTGAACAAAGACTTAGGTATCGATTATAGCACCTACCATAGGCCAGTGGGAGCACCATCCTGGTGGCTCCCATGACTACTGATGAAAGGTAAGACCACCTCAAATTTTTTGATTATTTTTTACCGTCTTATCCTACTGCACCTGAGACACAATCTTAATACATAGAGATATAGTGAGGTCAAGCTGTTCTTACTGAAAACACTGATCTATTATGAAGGTACAGTTCATGTATGACTTCAGTACGTTATGCTTTACATAATAGCAGTAACACTGTGATTGGTACTGATAATATGAGTGTATGTTTACATCATTCATTAATTCTCACATGTTTAAGGTTCATAACAATTCCTGACATGAAAGTTTTACCCAGTGATAAAGTGGGAGAATGAATTAATAAAACTTTCTATCGTCTCAACATGCTTCCACCTCAACAAAAATCACACAAAATAGAGGAATAAACAACAGCAAATGAAAGTTTAGTTTTATTTCAGTGCAACATGACAGAAGAGTTTTAATAGTAGCCGTATCTGTGTTGGTAGGAGTGGCCATACGCAGGACGGTAACCGTACCCGTGCCCAGAGTAACCATAGATATGGCTGGGCTCAGCAGCTCTCTTTCCAATACCATGTCCGAAGCCATAACCATGGCCATATCCATGCCCATAGCCATGGCCGTAGCCAACGGTATGTCCGTAGCCATACCCGGGACCGTAGGAAGGTTCAGCATCACGCTTGTGAAGGATATGGTTGTAGGAGTGGCTGGCGGAATGGAGGCCGTGGGGGTGGTAAGATGCCACTGGTCCGTAGCCGTAGCTGTGCCGATGCCCGTAACCGATGCCGTGTCCGTAGTTAGTGAGGCCGTATGAGGGCTCAGCCTCGCGTTTCTGCTCTGCTGCCACGAAGGCGGCCAACAGTACAACGATCTGAGGAAGAGAAATATTAATATACTGAACAAACTTCACAATTATGTATTTTATTCTTTGTCATATATTAAGCTATGCCGACTGGCAACTTATAGCAAATGAGGTAGAACGGCTCTAAAGTTAGTTGAGCATCTTACCAGAGTCCTCATGGTTGGTTGTCGGTAGCGAAGCGGCTGTGTCAGACAGTATTCTCGCCTCTCTATATATACAACGCGGAGTCTGGCCCCGCCCTAACCCCCTCACCGACCTCGTCGCTAACGTGAAATTTGACCGCAAACCTGAAGGTCGTTAAGCTATATATAGACACCCAAGGCATGTCATTAGTGATTAACTGACATTGATGCTAAAATGTATGATTGCGCTTCAACAACTAAGGTGTTTAAGCACGTATTCTAGATGAGGAAATACACAGGATATCAACTGTTGAAAATCAGGTGATATAAATCATTCTGTGCATTTTTTAACATTAGATTTTATCAGAAATACGCACTGAAGCGATGTAGTTATTTCTTTCTCCTGGAAATATAGAATTTAAAACGATAATAACGTATAGTTATATGTCAACGAAAATAACATACCTGTATCACCTGCTTCAATATATTTCATAAAACTTGCAGAAAATAACTATTGTCAAGACATATAAGTCTTCAACGATAGGAGACGGATAAAACAAGAAACATTCTGAGACAAAGCAGTAATAACACTGTTGGTTACTGGGATATCAACAAAATATAATTACAAAATTCCCTCCACAAAAAATTATAGTGTTTAATAATGTAAGGAATTTTGTGTATAAAGAGATGTCTAGAATGGTTACAATGCGAGAGATTGTCCGGCAAATAATCGCAAAAGGTTGAATTTTTGTGAACTTTGATCCCTTGAGAGTTAAAAAAAGTAATGGCAGTGTAGTGATGAAGGTATATATGAATATCAAATACCATGTAATTTTAAATTAATGCAACGAGATTTGAAGATATTAAGAACAGACAACCTTGTCCTCTTGTCCAGCTGCCCACGGTGATATTGTCCCTGTCACTAAGGTTTTGCCTAAGGTCTCTTTTACACGAGTGTCTTTTTTTCTGTCGTGAGATATAATATACACGTCTTTCTTATACAAAAACCATTACACAGGTCGCGTTTGCACTTCTGTATCTACCGGTACTTGGTCTCCCATGCTGTTTTCTTGAAAATTTGTAAATATAATTATCATTATGCTGTGAAGTTATGAAATATATATTTATAATTATGCATAGACTGTATAAAGAACAAGAAATATGTGTTATAGAGTTATAGATATCTATACTGCATATTGAAATACAATATTATATGTAAATAAGTACTATAAAAAGAGACAAAGAGATACTTGCTGAAGTATTAATTCAACCACAGTTAAAACGCAACTGTTACGAGTCAAACCAAAAACTCGTCTGAAATACTCTATTGCCGTATAAGGAGTTTCAAAATGCTTGGTGTATTCTCATGTTTAGCAATTTGGAAGGACTGTAGAGGCGTTCGGACAAATTTAACTGATTTTTTCTTGTACGTACCTCAGAATGAACAGATGGAGCTGAACTTGTGCGCAGCAGAAAAAACGTCTGTATGAAGTAGCGTTTTTTTGTATAAGAGACACGTGTATATTTTACCACACGACAGAAAAACAGTCGTGTAAAAGAGTCCTAAGGCAAAACTTTAGTGATAGGGACAATGTCACTGTGGGCAGCTGGACAAAGAGACACGGTTGTCCGTTCCTGATGCTTTAAAAATTTTTCCATTCCTTCAAATATCAGTCCATTTTCAAAAACAATATTCATATTTACCTTGGTCAATAGACAGCCTATTTTTTCTTTTTTTACTCACCGAATTACGATTTTCTACCAAGGAATATTTCGCATTTTAAACGGGCGACATACTGTTTTCGTTTAAAGAAAATTTTCTTAAATCGAAGTATTTACTTAAATATAAACAACAGTTAGGGGTATTTTTTTAATGATATTTTATTGATTATTCAGGTGTCACAAATCAAGAAAATCTCCCACAGAAGACTCAAGCACATATTGTTATTTCTTCTCATGATGTTTCGTCTCTTATCCCTGTCTTATCGTAGAAGACTTCTATCTAGACTCAGGTTTTATGAAATATGTTAAAGGAGATAATACAGGTATGATAATATCGTTGGTAAATATCCTAAGTCTAGTCGTTATTATAGTTTAAAACTGATATCTCCAGGAGAGAGGTACAGTACAGTGCCATGAGCGGTTAGAAGTTACTCATGACGTAATATAGGGAACCCTCGTGACTGATTGAGATCTATGCTGCTAGTCAAGGTTGTAGCTTCCGACAGGCTGGGCAGAAAGGGTGACAGGAGGTCGCGGTGTGAACTTCAACCTGCTAGATCGTTGAATAATGTAATTAGGTATTGTCTGTGCTTATACTATGTTACAGGGATAGGGAAGACTATATTAGGATTTATGCTTTATAGAATATTTTCATTATATCTGTGTTTGCTGGTTAGAGTATTATCACCAGTGTACTCCAATGTTATATTTGGTCCTTTGGTTATTATGTAAGATGTCATAATACATAGGAGTTGGGGAATATGTACCTATAAAGTTGTGAATTTAAATTTTTCAATATCATATTTGACATTGATACAGTATTTATTATGATCCTGAAATTGAATGAGTATTTGAAGTAATTGGGAAGAACCTATGACAGTCGGGATGAGAATATCACAGGTCAATATGACACGCAGTCCCCTTCAATAGTGCGTTTACAGGGGATCGTCATATGAATATTCCACAAATCATTACCTAACGAGCCCCTATAAACACACAGTGAAGGGGACTGTACCTACAGCTCGCCAGTGCAGATTTCTGAAAATGTCTAATGTTAACATTATGTACAGTATAAGACCAAATTTTCAACATTTGATGACCAGTGCATTTCCTAATATAGAATATGGTCTTAACGACCTTAGCTGTTGAAGCGCAGTAATAACATCAATACCTGTTAATCACCTATGATAGGCCTTGCTTGTCTATCTATAGCTTAACGACCTTCAAGTTTGCGGTCAAATTTCACGTTAGCGACGAGGTCGGTGAGGGGGTTAGGGCGGGGCCAGACTCCGCGTTGTATATATAGAGAGGCGAGAATACTGTCTGACACAGCCGCTTCGCTACCGACAACCAACCATGAGGACTCTGGTAAGATGCTCAACAAACCTTATAGCTGTTCTATCCCATTTACTAAAAGTTGCCAGCAGGCATATTAGAATATATGACAAAGAATAAAATACATAATTGTGAAGTTTGTTGAGTTCATTAATATTTCTCTTCCTCAGATCGTTGTACTGTTGGCCGCCTTCGTGGCAGCAGAGCAGAAGCGCGAGGCTGAGCCCTCATACGGCCTCACTAACTACGGCCACGGTTATCGTTACGGACATGGGCACAGCTACGGCTACGGACCAGTGGCATCTTACCACCCCTACGGCCTCCATTCCGCCAGCCACTCCTACAACCATATCCTTCACAAGCGTGATGCTGAACCTTCCTACGGTCCCGGGTATGGCTACGGACATACCGTTGGTTACGGCCATGGCTATGGACATGGACATGGATATGGCCATGGTTATGGCTTCGGACATGGTATTGGAAAGAGAGCTGCTGAGCCCAGCCATATCTATGGTTACTCTGGGCACGGGTACGGTTACCGCCCTGCGTATGGCCACTCCTACCAACACAGATACGGCTACTATTAAAACTCTTCTGTCATGTTGCACTGAAATAAAACTAAACTTTCATTTGTTGTTGTTTGTTCCTCTATTTTGTGTGATTTTTGTTGAGGTGGAAGCATGTTGAGACGATCGAAAGTTTTATTAATTCATTCTCCCAGTTTATCACTGGGTAAAACTTTCACGTCAGGAATTGTTATGAACCTTAAACATGTGAGAATTAATGAATGATGAAAACATACACTCATATTATCAGTACCAATCACAGTGTTACTGCTATTATGTAAAGCATAACGTACTGAAGTCATACATGAACTGTACCTTCATAATAGTTCAGTGTTTTCAGTAAGAACAGCTTGACCTCACTATATCTCTATGTATTAAGATTGTGTCTGAGGTGCAGTAGGATAAGACGGTAAAAAATAATCAAAAAATCTGAGGTGGTCTTACCTTTCATCAGTAGTCATGGGAGCCACCAGGATGGTGCTCCCACTGGCCTATGGTAGGTGCTATAATCGATACCTAAGTCTTTGTTCACGAGCTGTTTTTTGTTTATCATGAGGCACGTGTCTTACGATTTAGAAATCAATGGAGTTTAATAGGACCATTCACACGAACGTACCGAACGAATAAAAAGATGACGTTACTGCTGACCGAACGCTTGTACAGTTCCATTCATTTCCTCATTTAACAGAGAACCACGATTGCGTTTAGTTAAAGGACTCGTAGCACTCGAAATAATATCTTTTCAACTGAACGGCGGCGTAGTCGGCGATTAGAAGTTTTCGTAGCGTTACGAAGACAACGGTCCACCGAGGTGCATGAGTAGGTCCGTAGTGCCCAGATGTTTATAAATAAGAAAGATGACGACTACAGGAGCATATTTTGTTGCAGTGACTGTGACGTTGTATTTACAGACCTTCAAGAAGTATATGCACACATACAGAGCCGCAGTAATTATTACAAAAATCTAATAAACATATCTTCGGCATTGTATTACACAATATAACTGTGCGAAGGATAAATTTAGATGATTAATTAAACATTCGCTGACTAATTAGGCATGATATTTTTTTATTGAGTTATTCAAGCTGATTACAGACTGTGGTGGTATTGAAAGTTGGGGGAAATACACAGCCACGATTCAAGCAGTGATAAGCGTAACCTAGCAACCACTTAGTAGTGCACGATGGCGTCACAACCGTTCAGTTTGCCCCATAAGGCAGTACGGATTCCTGTAGCGTATGTAGCGCGCAAGTGAATGCAGCCCAGGGCACTACTGACCTACCCATGCACCTCCGCGGGCCGTAGTCTTCGTAACGCTACGAAAAATTATAATCGCCGACTACGCTGACGTTCAGTTGAAAAGATAATACTTCGCACACTACGAGTCGTACAACTAAACGCGGTCTTGGTTCACCGTTGAAGGAGGGAGTGGAGGGAACTGCACAAGCGTTCGGTGAGCATCAACATTATCTTTTTTTTTTTTTGCTGCGTGTGCAAGTCCCAATGAACCCGATTACTTTCTAAATTGCGCAACAAGTGTAGCATAATTATAATAAAAGACTCGTGAGAAAGAGGCCCGCGTGTCATGCACGCGCCAATGATAACATGTTTCACAACTTCAGTGGCCGCCTGGAGGCTCTAATCATGATTGATAACAGGGAGGACCACCTCGAAAACTTTAGAATGTCATAGCGTTTGTCATGAAACATACTAGAGAGAATCTTAACACACAGAAAAACCATAAGGTAAAGCTGCTATTATTGAGAACACTGAAAAATTATGAGTGTAGTTAATGCTTGACTTTACTGCATTATGGTTTCCATGATAAGAGTAACACTGACTGAAAACGTTGGTACTTACGTATTTAAGGTTCATAACATTTCCCGACAAAATAATTAATCGAAGAATAAATTAAAAGAAACTTTTATCGTTTCAACATGCTTCCGTCTCGACAAAATATCACACAAAACAGAGGCAAAAACAACAACAAATGAAAGTTTTAGTTTTATTTCAGTGCACCATGACAGAACAGTTTTAATAGTAGCCGAAATAAGGATGTACAGATCTGTGTTGGTAGGAGTGGCCATACCCAGGGTGGTGGACGCCCGTGTTGTAGCCGTATACTGCTCCGTGGCCATGGACGAGACCGTGACCATACCCATACCCAGGGTACTTCTTGAAGGTCTGTAAATACAACGTCACAGTCACTGCAACAAAATATGCTCCTGTAGTCGCCATCTTTCTTATTTATAAACATCTGGGCACTACGGACCTACTCATGCACCTCGGTGGACCGTAGTCTTCGTAACGCTACGAAAACTTCTAATCGCCGACTACGCCGCCGTTCATTTGAAAAGATATTATTTCGAGTGCTACGAGTACTTTAACTAAACGCAATTATGGTTCTCTGTTAAATGAGGAAATGAAGGGAACTGTACAAGCGTTCGGTCAGTATCAACGTCATCTTTTTATTCGTTCGGTACGTTCGTGTGAATGGTCCTATTAAACTCCATTGATTTCTAAATCGTAAGACACGTGCCTCATGATAAACAAGAAACAGCTCGTGAACAAAGACTTAGGTATCGATTATAGCACCTACCATAGGCCAGTGGGAGCACCATCCTGGTGGCTCCCATGACTACTGATGAAAGGTAAGACCACCTCAAATTTTTTGATTATTTTTTACCGTCTTATCCTACTGCACCTCAGACACAATCTTAATACATAAAGATATAGTGAGGTCAAGCTGTTCTTACTGAAAACACTGATCTATTATGAAGGTACAGTTCATGTATGACTTCAGTACGTTATGCTTTACATAATAGCAGTAACACTGTGATTGGTACTGATAATATGAGTGTATGTTTACATCATTCATTAATTCTCACATGTTTAAGGTTCATAACAATTCCTGACATGAAAGTTTTACCCAGTGATAAACTGGGAGAATTAATAAAACTTTCTATCGTCTCAACATGCTTCCACCTCAACAAAAATCACACAAAATAGAGGAATAAACAACAATAAATGAAAGTTTAGTTTTATTTCAGTGCAACATGACAGAAGAGTTTTAATAGTAGCCGTATCTGTGTTGGTAGGAGTGGCCATACGCAGGGCGGTAACCGTACCCGTGCCCAGAGTAACCATAGATATGGCTGGGCTCAGCAGCTCTCTTTCCAATACCATGTCCGAAGCCATAACCATGGCCATATCCATGCCCATAGCCATGGCCGTAGCCAACGGTATGTCCGTAGCCATACCCGAGACCGTAGGAAGGTTCAGCATCACGCTTGTGAAGGATATGGTTGTAGGAGTGGCTGGCGGAATGGAGGCCGTGGGGGTGGTAAGATGCCACTGATCCGTAGCCGTAGCTATGCCCATGCCCGTAACCGATGCCGTGTCCGTAACGATAACCGTGGCCGTAGTTAGTGAGGCCGTATGAGGGCTCAGCCTCGCGCTTCTGCTCTGCTGCCACGAAGGCGGCCAACAGTACAACGATCTGAGGAAGAGAAATATTAATGAACTGAACAAACTTCACAATTATGTATTTTATTCTGTGTCATATATTCTGATATGCCTTCAGGCATCTTTTAGTAAATGGGATAGAACAGCTATAAGGTTTGTTGAGCATCTTACCAGAGTCCTCATGGTTGGTTGTCGGTAGCGAAGCGGCTGTGTCAGGGCAGTATTCTCCTCTCTATATATACAGCGTGGAGTCTAGCCCCGCCCTAAAGCCTTCGCCGACTCCCTCACTGACGGTGACCTTGTCGCTAACGTGAAATTTTAAAGTAACTCATAAATCGTTCAGCTATAGATAGACACACAAGGCCTATCATAGGTGGTTAACAGATATTGGTGTTATTACTGGGAACAACTAAGGGATGTTGGCGCATATTCTAGATTAGAAAATGCACTGGTCATAAATTTTTGAGTATTAGGTGATATACCATACATCATTTTTTTTTTAACAGATTGGACTTTTTTCAGTAATCAGGACTGAGGAGATGTAGGTACTACTTTCCTGGAGATAAAGAATTTTAAAAGATAATAACGACTAGACTTTGGAAATTTGCCAAAGAAATCATCATTCATGTATAATCTTCTTTAACATATTTCATAAAACGTATGTCTCAATATAAGTCATCAACGATAAGACATGGATAAGAGACAAAACATTTTAGGTCAAAGTCAACAATAAAGTCTGCTAGAGTCCTCTGTGGGAGATTCTTTTGATTTTTAATACTGAATAATAATAATAACAATAATAATAATAATAATAATAATAATAACATGCAGAAAATACCCCAATGTGTGATTGAAGTAAATTTTTAAATCGATGATTTTTTTATTTTAAATTTGTTATTTGTTTAAACGTGGATGTCTGAAGAGTAAAATAATGAAAGAAAAAAACTGTATATTGATCAAGGTAGATTTGGATATACATTTTTTAACTATTGGACCGATATTTGCAGCAATAGCATCAGTTTAAGACATCAGAAACGGATACACCTTGTCCTTTTATTCTGCTCCCCACTGTGACATTATTCCTATCACTAACGTTTTTGCCTAAGGCCTCCTTTACACGAGTTTTTTTCTGTATTGAGACATAATATACACGTGTCTATTACTGTATGTAAAAATCTATGCTCGCACATGCTTTTTTTTTCTTGGTGCGCTTCAGTTCAACTCCATTTGTTCATTATGGAGAATCCCACAACACAGGTCGTGTTTGAACTTCCACAATCAGTAGTTCTGTATTTCCCGGTACTTGGTCTCCAACGATGTTTTGTTGAAACTCAAGATTTTGAATCATTAATGACAAACCTTGTGTCTCTTTTTATAGTTTAAAAACCTGAGAATTTTCTGTAAAATTTCCTGTTAACGACGAGGTCAATGAGGGAGTCGGTGAGGGGGTTAGGACGGGGCGTGACTCTACGCGTTGTATACAGTATATAGAGAGGCAAGAATACTGCCAACACAGCCGCTTCATTTCCGACAACCAACCATGAGGACTCTGGTAAGATGCTCAACAAACCTTATAGCTGCTCTGCTTCATTTACTTA